TTATAGGAATCTACTGGGACCAAGTAGAGCCAGCTACGGGCAAAGAGGAAGCCAATCTGGACAGCTGAACGGACTCAGAGGCATAAAACAAGGGACATAGAAAGAGGTTGGGGTGAGAATCTAGGACTGGCAGAGGTACCAGACCATCAAGATTTCCAGGAGAAATTACGGAAACATCTGCAAGGTCAGGGCAGGAAGTTGGGGCCGCTTCTCAGAAAGGGAAGTGCTTGCCTTGGGATTGCTGGGGCAAAGCTGAACTGCCATATAAGCAGAGCCAGGAGGCTGGCTGAGAACCAGCAAAGAGACTCCAAGGAGGACCAAGAGTCCATCCACTCAACTCCAAATCTTTCAGCTCCACAGAGGTGAGGACAGGCCTTGGCTTTTGGGGAGCTAACGAAATACATTACCCAGGCCAAGAAGTAGTTCAACATTAATTGCATTACAATAAAGAACCTGTGTTCAGAAAATCTCTTGACAGCTTTGCTTCTGTTCATGTCCAGGCTTTGCCAGCCATGGCCCTGCAAAGCGCTAATCAAAGGGTAAAGCAAACAGTCAATTGCTTAGTTATAAACAAACAGTTGTGAAACTTTTTAATTTTGGTGCTTGGAAAATAACAAGGCTTACAAAATACCAGTGAATAACAGATAATTGGCCAGAAAAATCCATTCAGGAGGGGCTTGGACAGCATTGGGTATGAAAGGAATGTCTCCCTCTAGCTCCATGGGGGTGGGGTGAGGTAGGACTGGGGCAGGGGCTGCACTGTTGGGGACTCACTTCAAATCCTGCTTCTTGGCAAGAAATCTTGCCAAAGTGGCTCATCCAGCACACTGTCAACCTCTCCTTGTTGGTCACACACCCTTTCCTAACGTTTCCAAAGGGAGCCCACTTTCAGTCTAACCATTTAGTCACCCTAACCCCTTCCCCCACCCTCCCCACCCCCCCCATGATACTCACTCTGTCCCTGGGACAGCTGTTCCCCCTGACAGATGACCCAGCCCCCTGGTTTTCCTTAAATAATAGGAGAACACTTGCTCTCTCTAAACACAAGGCCATATCCAAATTTAAAAAAGAAAAATAAGGGAGGAAAGCATTCAAACAAAACTCTTGGAATGGGACTCCTGGGGTGACATACCGAATAAAGCAAAACAGGAAAACAATTGCAATATTAAAAATAGATGACTTCCTGCATGTAAATTCTTCACTGACCTTGTTGATTGGAGTATGGTCAATGTTTGCTGGCCTCCACCTCCTGATTTCATGAGAGTTCACATCAAGGGGCAGTTCTCAGGACTCAGAAGTGCCCCTGTCCCATTTTAAAAAGTATTTGTATATGAATCTGCCTACAGGCATCAAGGCTTAACTCTTTGATACTCAGCACCTATCAGAGATCAAAACTTGTCCTTTGTGTCATTGCCATGTATCTGGCTATTGAGGGTACCTCATAGGTCACTGAGGCAGAGACGGGGCCTGCGCATAACCCAATGCTCCTTGATGATATTCACACCCATGGCCAACAGTGTGACAGCCATCATGGAGAGAGCATCCATCGACTTGGTGAGCACTTGACTGAGCCCCTGCCACATGCCAGCCACTGCTCCATGCACAGGGGACACACTCGAGCCCTGGGTGAGCTTCTATTGTAGTTGGATAAAACACAACAGTGAATTCTATTTTGCATTATAAGAGGTGTATAGGAAAAACGAAAGTAGGGTAAGAGGAATTGAACGGATGGTGGGCTTACATTGGATGGAGTAGGTCTCAGCAAGAAAGTAATATATAAGCAAAGACTTGATATGAGGAAGTAGATAGGCAGATATCTTGAGAAAATACCTGATTTGATGCAATAGTCCGAGCAAATGTCCTGAGGCAGGACCATTACAATGAACAAATAAGACCTGGCTTCTCTGGCATCCACTGCTAGGAGGCCTCAGCCAAGATAATTCTATTCTGTGGACAACAGAGGGAATGACTTTGAAGCAGTAGGGACAATGGTGAAAATGGTTTCAACCAGGACAGCTCTTCGGAATTGGGGTGTGCACTGGTGAAAAGGAGAGGTAAAGGTTAAAAGAAAAGGATCATTTTCCAAGATTCCACTCCCTGAGTGGAGAATAAGAACGGAATCTAAAGGGCACACCCAAAACAAATCAGCAGGAGACAGGGAGCCCCCGTTGGGCGTTGTGTTTTGATTCCCCATGTAGTTATGAGTATGGCTCTGTGCCTTCAGAAGTACTCGTGGAATTTGGCCTTGGATCACAGAATTTTAGGACTGAATTGTTCCTTCCTGACTCTGCTTGCTCCCTAATCCCCTTCTCTGGATCGCCTTGGTCACTGGAGTTCTCTTAACCATTTTCTGTTCCGGGCCACTCTTGAAATGAGATTTAGCCAAGGGATGATCAGTACCCCTGAAGATGGCCCCCCTCCTCTCTCCATCAAAGCAGGCTAATTTCCTGAAAGGGGAGGTCTTGAAAGGAATTTACACTCTATGGCTAAAGAGATCTGAGAGTTACCACTGAGAACTCAGGTATTTATTAAAAGCACTTGGGCCTCCCTGGTGGCGCAAGGGGTTAAGATGCAACCTATGAAGCTATCTGCAGCCATTGCAAATAGCCACTCCCTGGTTCAATCCCCGGCCAGGGAGCTACTCACATGGTGCAGCAGATCTCTCCTGACTCACCCACTGCTCCCCTCTGCAGTGTATTTCAGTCAGTCTGCCTGTTCTGTTCCCCACTTTATCTCTGGTGAATCCTCTCTCCCCCCACACCACTGGCCTGTACCCCAGTTCTTGTATGCATAAATAAATAAATCTTTAAAAAATAAATAAATAAACAAATAAATAAATAAAAGCATTTGATTTCTCCCACAGAGTGAGAGAGAGAGGTGGGTAAAACTAGACACATGTGGATTTAAAACCCTCCCATTATCTATTGCTCTTGGGAGAAAGTCAACAGTATTTAATTGCCTTCATGCTGCAGTCATCCTTGCTAACTGAACACCGAGGAGCCTTACTATTTCCTGCAGGTATAGGTATGGGCTGTGCTGGACGACTTCCAGCTCCTACTCACCTATTCACCCTTAATTGGTCCTTCCTTGGAGAATGAGTTCCTGACCCCCTAAACTAGTTTGGATTACTGACCTTCCAGAACTTGGCGTGGCATCTGGCCCTTAGTAAATGCTCCATAAATATTGATGCTTTATAACTGGAGTTGATGAATGAATGAGCAAATGAGAGACGTTAAAATCAATGTGATTTTTTTAAATTGATAACTAGGAGGACAGAAGTCCCCACCCAAAAAGAAAGAGGAGAAAAGAAAAGAATTCTTTAAGACATGAAGTGCTTTTGCTTAAGGCAATATTCAAGTTAGGTCAACCAGGTCAATCATTGGGGAAAACAATGGAAATTTGTTCTAGGATATTCATCTTCTAAGTAACCTCAGCATTGTTAACTGATACTGAAAATGAGCTGGATTCCTCCCTGCTTACCCCTAGTAGTAGGGAGGAGGGGAGAGGACAGAAGGGCACTACCAGGAAAAATAGGCTCATCCAGCTTGGAGAGCTGAAAAAGAGTAAATTATAAGAACTGAATTTCAATTTTTGTTCTGTATTGATCCACTGGGGGTGGGGGGGCTTGGACAAGTCACTTAACACTTTGAATTATATTTTCATTGCCTAAAAAAATTAAACTTTGGGACATTGAAGCGGGGGAAGGTATCAACAAAGTTTATGTATGGCCAAAGGTCCCACACAATAGCGATATTATTAATGATCACTGATGCTAACCCCAGCTGTTCCCCAGTAAGATTTTATTAGTCTCACTGCTGTTTCCTGATTTGTTTCCATCCAGGAAGCTTTGAAATAATGGTTAGCAGAGGGGCACACTGCAAAAATAAAAATTCTCAGTCTTTTAACTTTTCCATCCACTTTAATCCCACTGCCCATCCTTCCTCTCTCCCCAGCTTCAGCTGGAGTCCTGCCATTCCTGTAATCAGTCATGAACTGGGGAGAACCTCACTCATGTTGGGGGAGGGAGGGAGTGTGCAGGGAGAGTCCTGGCCCAGCATCGCTATTGAATATGATGTCCTTTGGTGGTGCCCTCAAAACAGAAGTGAGGAAACAGGTCATTATTTATCATATGGCTTTGTAATGGATGCTGATAATGCAAAACAGACAGGCAGTTCTTGAGGTCACTCCAATGAAGGACTGAGTCAGCTGTTGGGACCAAGTCGGAAGGGAGGTTCCCTGTGTGATTTGCCCTTCTGCTAGGGATCTCCCTGCAGAAACAGCTGCCCTCTTGTTGCTGGAGCTTGCCATTTGCCCTCTGGAAGGCACACTGCCTCCTGCATTATGTATGTGGACAGTTTGGGGCCTGTAGGGGGAGCTGAAAACTTCCCATTCCAGCACAGTCACACCCCAGTCCTCTCCAAGTCAGCACACAGTTGGATGCAGGTCCTGCAGGCTGGAGCCCATCATTACGATGGCTGCTGGCTCTTGAACCAGTCACCACAGCAGAGGAAAGGCAGCATTCTGGTTGGCCAGGTCTAGGTCACCTGCCAACTCTTGGGTGGGGGTGTGACAACTTCACTTATATCCATACCACAGTGAAGTGTGTTTCCAGAGTCAAGGGGAGGGCAGTGTAAAGATCACTGTAGCAACCGCTGGAATGATGTCTCTGATTCCTCCGAATCTCCTCTACCATCCCAATCCAGCATAATATATCCAGCACTATATCTTTGCCCCAAAGCATGGTTCAATCAATACAAATTTACTGGCAAGAAAATTCTTACACTCATAAATGAACAAATGATAAAAGTTACTCAAATGCAGAGCTCCATAGAAGCACTGTTTTGAGCCAAATATTTCCCCTACCTGGTACCCACCTAAGAATATGCCAAGCCAAGAGAATGACATTGCTCAAATAAACTTGACATAGTCTCAAACTACTCCATCACTCTCTCGCCCTTTGACCTTTGCTTCTCTTCTCAACATCACAATGGCCTCAAGGTGGTAGCTGTAGGGCACATTTTTCTGGCTTCTGCCGATTTGCCATATCAGCAACATTTGAGCCAGCTGGTAACTCGCTTCTCCTTGAATCTCTTTTTTTTTTTTTTTCCTGCGGCAACTAGGGAGTCACATTCATTGTTTTCTTCCTACCTGGACATTCCTTCTTGGATGGATTATCTCTCCAACCTCTCAGTGTCCAGAAACCAACAATTATAGTTCTTCTTTTCTATCCATGCTCACTCCCCAGGTGATCCATTCCAATTATGGCTTTAATATCATTACGTGCTACCCCTCCAAAATGTGTGTGTGTGTGTGTATCTAGCTCTTTGCTGAATCCAGATCTTATATTTATCTATTTATCTACTTTTTTCAGATTTTATTTATTTATGCATACAAGAACTGGGGTACAGGCCAGAGGTGCAGGGGGTGAGGATTCACCAGAGACAGAGTGGGGAGCAGAACAGGCTGTCCGACTGAAATACACTGCTGAAGGTGAGTTCTGCTGCGCCATATGTGCAGCATCCTGGCAGGACCAGGAATCGAACTCATGCTGCAGAGGCTGTGGATAGCTTCACAGTGCTGTGCTTAACCCCTTGTGCCACTATGGAGGCCTTTATCTATCTTCTTAACTGAATTTCTACTTCAATGTCTGATTGACATCTCCAACCCATCCAATTTAAAACTGAGCTAATAGCTCTCCTTCCCCTACTACCAAAAAGAAACCAGTTCCTTCACTAAGTACTCAGGCAAAGCCATCATGCTGTTCACGAAACCTCTTTCTACTACACTCCCCATCTTGTACATCAGAAAATCTTATAGACCTTACCTTTAACATATATTCAAAAGGCTCCTAACAGTTCTCTCTGCTTCTGCGTTTGACTCCTAACTCACTCATCCTCGTGGCCCATGCTCAACATACTAGCCATGCTGATCCAGATAAAACATTAGTCACATCCTGTCAACCCTCTGCTTCAAATCCACAATGGGAGTAAAATCTTTACTAAGACCCATGGGACCTATGTGATCTGTCCCTCACCCACCTCACTCAATTTATCTTCCATTAACCACACGTTTACTCCTTCTACTCCAGCCTCTTGACCCCCTTCCTCAAATATTCCAGACGTCTTCTACCTTATGATCTTTGCATTTACTCTTCCCAGAATGCTCTTGCCCAAAATATTCACTGGGCTCCCTCCTCAACTCCTTTAATTCTTTTTTCAAGGTAACTTCTTTTTTTTTTATAAGTTCTGTGTTTATTTGTTTATTAAATTATTTATTTTATTTATTTATACAAACACTGGGTATAGTCAGAAGCGTGGGAGGGTGAGAGAATTCACCAGAGCGGGAAGCAGAACAGGAAGAAGGACCCAAGCACACTGCTGAGGGGAGCAGCGGGCGGCAGGAGAGGTCTGCGCGCCATGTGGGACCCTCGCCAATGGCCAGGGATGGAACCAGCGCTGCAGAGACCGGGGGCAGCTTCACAACCCAGCGCTCAACCGCTGCGCCACTGGGGAGGCCCTCAAGGTAACTTCTTATGGAGGTTTTGCCAGGAAACCCTGTCTAAAATGCAACACCTTCACCATTCTTGTTCCCTTCCCTTCTTATTTTTTCTTGTAGCACTACCAAATAATTATATATTCTTTATATTTATTTTATCGTGTACATTGTTTTCACCAGCTAAGTTGTCAGCTCCATGAGAAAAGGGCAATTTTTGCTTGTTTCAATTATTAATATACCTTCAGAGCCTACCATAGTGCTTTTAAAATTAAAGAGGAAACTAAACAAAATAATATAATTGTAAAACTAAGATTTCAATCCCTTGAAACCCATGCATTATATCTGGGCTTGGTTTTTAATTAAATTCATTCAGTGACCAGATGAGTTTCCTTGTCTTGAGGTCCATTCTTGGTGGAGAGAAAGCCAGGAAGATTTTCTATTGTTGTCATTTACTAGCTCAAAAGTATTCAATACTTCCCATTACCAAAGGGATCAAGTTCCTCTCTTCATCATCAGGAGCTTTTTAAGGTTATTGCCCCCTTCAGTACTCTATTTGTCTTCTGCTAAACGGTCTATTCACTACTTTCCCAAATTTCCTTGAATCTACCTTCCTCTATATAATTATTTCTTAAGATTTATTTATTTATTTATACAAGAACCGTGGTACAGGCCAGATGTGCGGGAGGGTGATAGGATTCACCAGAGACAGAGAGGGGAACAGAACAGACAGACTGTTTTCGTTAGAAATACACTGCTGAGGGGAGCAGCGGGCACGACAGCAGAGGTCTGCCCCGCCCTATGGGACCCTCGCCGGCCAGCAGGGATAGATAGAACTGGCACTGCAGAGGCTGCAGACAATTTCACAGTGCTGCGCTCAACCACCTGAGCCCCCAGGGGAGGCCCCCTCTATATAATTTCTCATCCCTATCTCTTGCTTGACTCATTCTCCATCATCTCCTCCTTCCATCTATGCAAACCCAGCCTATCCTATAAGATGTCTGTCCTCCATCTACTGAAATCCAATTCTTTCTTTCAACTCACATGGCGCCTCCTTTATAAAACTTTTCTTGAATACCTCAGTATTTTTATAGTATTTTTTTCTAGTTTTATTCTATTTTGTTTCATACTACAGTAACAGAGCAGTAAATTGAGGGTCCACAGCAGTCTGGAACATTGATCCAAATCCAGATCCTGCTACTAACTGGTTGTATGCCCTTGGGCAAGTGTATGCCCTGGGTCTCAGTTTCTTTGTCTATAAAATAGGGACAATAACAGTACTTACAGGACTGTATGAGATGTTAATGTAAAATACTTCAAATAGTGTCTCTACTCTGAGAGTTTGCTATTTTTATTGTGGTATGGTAATATTTAGCAATCCATTTTCAGCCCCTTGATTGTGTTGAGTGACACATAACAATTGGGTTTCTTTCCAGTTGCTTAAAAAATGTACCTTAGGGCCTCCCTGGTGGTACAAGGGGTTAAGTACAGCACTGTGACACTATCCACAGCCTCTGCAACACAAGTTTGATCCCTTGCCTGTCAGGGAGCTACCACATGGCACAGCATACCTCTCCTGTCTCACCTACTGCTCCCCTCAGCAGTATACTTCCGTTGATCTGCCTGTTCTGCTCCCCACTCTGTCTCTGGTGAATCCTCTCACTCCTCAAGCCTCTAGCCTGTACCCCAGTTCTTGTATGCATAAATAAATAAATCTTTTTTAAAAATGTACCTTAGTTTTATTGAATAATTAGCTTATTATTTTTTAATTCTTTTCTCAGTTTAAAGGTATAAGTGAATTAAATTCGTAATAGGGAATTCTCAGCAAATAAGCAATTTCCTTGATTCCCACCTCCATACATAATGCATAACAACAGTGGACGTATGACATTGAATTGAATTGAATTCTACTCCCATTTATAAAATACAGTTTAATTCAATACACTGTGAGGAACAGAAAGTTGAAGACAAGGTCCTTCCATGAATCATTATCTATAGAATCATGATCTATTGAGGAAAATCAATACATACCCAGCAAACGTCCTATAACAATATATGTTATATACTACATTACTGTTTTATTTCTGTCTTAAGTTTTCAGCTTCCTTCAGTCTCACAAACATTTTTGTAATTTTGAATCCAGGACAGTTTCTTATTTTAATGCAGGAACACAAGAAATTAGTTATAATTTACCACTATGTACTTAATGAAATTGGTTTTGAAACCCTGCCCATTAACCTTTAACCTCAAAGTTGATGTATAGTTTCCAAATTCATTTAATAATTAACTCAATGACCACAAGTATATATCAATTCTTATCTCAGCTTGTACCTACCTGGCATAGCGGAGATTGGGAAAATTCCAGAATGATCTCCCCCATCCTTCTCCTGAGATTCATCTCTGATTGTCTCTTTTGTCTTCCTTCCCTAGTCATCACCACATGCTATTATCCCATCCCATTTTAGCCCCTTCTCCATGAGTTACAATCATATCTGCTCCTCACCATGGTGATTATTCAACTTTGCAGCTACTTTTTTAGATGTTTAATCTGTTGTGCAGTGGAAGATGAAACATGAAGGGTAGCTGTATCTAAATATTTATTCAGAAAACAAATTCTTTAATATTCGATCTAGCCTCCAGTTTTCCCCAGAGACATTGGCATCATTATCCTCTTATTAAACAGTGGCCTAAGATATAAGGTCCTTAAAGGTGAATCCTGGAACTACAGTTTAATATCCATGAAATTGTTTTTTCACACCAAATAGAGTCCTCACCTTCCACTTTGTATAAACAGACTCAGAAGTGATAATTTACCAGGTTGTTTTTCTTCTGAAAGATGATCCCTGAAGTAACTTTAAAAAAAGAAAGACAACTTTAAAGATAAAGAAGCAATGATTATGTTTAAAAGCCTTTCAGGAATTTAAGATGTTCACAGAAGCTGTAAAATAATATTCCATGTATTTTAAAGTATTTTAGAACAATAAGACTTACAAGGATAGTACCTTGTAATAGGATAGTACTCAAGGGTAGTACCTTGAGGCACTTTCCTGAAGGTAGTTGAGATGAAGCGACATATTCCATAGTCTGATATGGGTCACTTTAAGGATATGAAACACTAGATATTTAACTCCTGAAAGGGACAAAGAAATATCAAATGATAGCATGGATGAGAAAGGTTGTATCAATGGCTCATTTTCCTAAAAAATCATCAAGACTGTCCAAGAGAGACTGGTCTTTCATTATTGCCTTGGAAATATTCCATACATTATCTTCACCTTTAAGTTGTCTCTGTAATCTAAAGTCAGGGATTATGGGTCAGCTGTCCCAAATGTTTTCAATGCCCGTGTTTCCAAGCTAACAATGACAAAAGGAGGACCCACACAGTTTAAGAATCTGATTTAGAAAAAGCTTGATGGAATAAAAGGATCACTAAATTCATCTCAGGAATACCTCACTCATTGATCATAAGCAAACAATGATGACCAAGTGTTTTGGTGGAGATAGTCCTAGCTTTTAGCAGGTATTTGAACAATCATAAAATTGCTACCCCATTTATAAAAGACTGGAGGAATTCA